TGAGATTTGCGGCTGATTTACATGGGCCTAATTGCTTTATAAAAAATCATGAAACATGATTGCTCCGCTCAACTGGCTTTCATTTATATGAAAGCAATCCTAGTTTTATGAACAGAATTTAACCCTCCGAGCGTCACTTGTCGAAAAATCGACTCACGACACACTTTGTGTAGTGTCACTTGTCGATTTTTCGACACACGAACATCGTTTACGGCGAAGGCTCTATGACTGACTGAATCAGATTGAACTGGATCGTGTTAGGTATCGTTCTTTTTGTTAGATTCTAAGCTTTCTCCGGAGGTCTGTCTCTAAGCGCTTTTCATTTTAGTTCCGAGAATATTGTAGCAGACAGCTGAGGAGCTGATTTCAAGACGCCATGTTATTAAGGGTAAAAAGCTGTGGAACTATCGCCAAGAATAATTCAACTCCCTTGTAGAATAGTTTTAAGAATGCAATTTATGAATGGCTTGTCAGAAACCCCCCTGTATAATATTGATGATTTTTTTTTTTTACAACCAATGACAATTTCCAGAATTGAATGCCTTTTAACCCTAAGAGTGTTAAGCGTCGCGTAATCGACGCACAACACACCCGCCGTGGTGTTATGCGTCGCTTTTGCAACACACAAACATCGTTTACGGCGAAGGCTCTGGGACTGACTGAATCAGATTGAACAGGATCAAGATTGGTATTGTTGTTTTTGGCAGATTCTAAGCTTTCTCCTGATGTCTGTTTCTAGACGCTTTTCATTTTAGTTCCGAAAATATTGTAGCTGACAGCTGACGTGCCTATTTGTAAACAACTCGGTGAACCTCGCACTGATGACTGATGTGTTTTATTATGTTTATCATTGTTTTAGTGTTAAAAATCAAAAGTAGTGATATACGTTGTGCATTATAAGAAGATTTAAGTGATTTTGAAGGGCTGGTTGATGATCCTGAAGAAGTAGGTAGTGATTGATGTAAATTATCAGCCAGATAGTATGTTTTATATATAATATTGAAGCCCATGATTTTCCAAACAAAATGGTATATAGAACAGTAGAATTAACATTGTTTTAAGCTTCTCAGATCCATTTTAATAAAACCTTGCAAATGCGCCAAAAATAGGCGGACATTAAGGCCTAAACTATGGACACTCGGAGGAATTTAACCTTCATTCAATGTTTTCATTGTCAGCAATTTTGGATTGGTGTGAACCTGGCAATAACTCCAGCCATAAGTAGTGCGCGCGCCCGAAAAAATCTATTGCTGGCCGTTTTGCGGCAAAATGCGACCGCGTAACATGAAACCGATGATGTCACCAGATAGAGGACAGTTTAACGGACACAACAGTATCAATATCATGTACCTGGGGAATAAGAAAGGGGGGGTAAAGTCAGCAATAAGTAGTGGGCGCGCCCGAAAAAATCTATTGCCGGCTGTATTGCGGAAAAATACGTCCGCAAGCAATAATAACGACGATGCCAACAGATAGAGGACACTTCAACGGACACGACAGTATCAACATCATGAACCTGGGGAGTAATTTAGGGGGGGGGGGGGGTAAAACCAGCAATAAGTAGTGGGCGCGCCCGAAAACATCCATTCCCGGCCGTATTGCGGAAAAATACGTCCGCGAGCAATAATAACTACGACGCCAACAGATAGAGGACACTTCAACGGACAAAACAGTGTCAATATCATGTACTTGGGGAGTAATATAGGGGGGTAAAACCAGCAATAAGTTGTGCGCGCGCCCGATAAAATCTATTGCTGGCCGTATTGCCGAAAAATACGTCCGCGAGCAATAACTTATTGCTGGTTTTACCCCCCTAAATTACTCCCCAGGTACATGAAGTTGATACTGTCGTGTCCGTTGAAGTGTGCTCTATCTGTTAGCGTCATCGTTATTATTGCTCGCGGACGTATTTCTCCGCAATACGGCCAGCAATAGATTTGAAAGGGCGCGCGCACAACTTATTGCTAGTTTTACCCCCCTTATATTACTCCCCAGGTACATGATGTTGATACTGTCGTGTCCGTTTAAGTGTCCTCTATCTTTTGGCATCGTCGTTATTATTGCTCGCGGACGTATTTTTCCGCAATACGGCCGGGAATAGATTTTTTCGGGCGCGCCCACTACTTATTGCTGGTTTTACCCCCCCCTAAATTACTTCCCAGGTACATGATGTTGATACTGTCGTGTCCGTTGAAGTGTCCTCTATCTGTTGGCATCATTGTTAATATTGCTTGCGGACGTATTTTTCGGCAATACGGCCAGCAATAGATTTTATCGGGCGCGCGCACTACTTATTGCTGGTTTTACCCCCCCCTAAATTACTCCCCAGGTACATGATGTTGATACTGTCGTGTCCGTTGAAGTGTCCTCTATCTGTTGGCGTCGTCGTTATTATTGCTCGCGGACGTATTTCTCCGCAATACGGCCAGCAATAGATTTGAAAGGGCGCGCGCACAACTTATTGCTGGTTTTACCCCCCTTATATTACTCCCCAGGTACATGATGTTGATACTGTCGTGTCCGTTGAAGTGTCCTCTATCTGTTGGCATCGTCGTTATTATTGCTCGCGGACGTATTTTTCCGCAATACGGCCAGGAATAGATTTTTTCGGGCGCGCCCACTACTTATTGCTGGTTTTACCCCCCTTATATTACTCCCCAGGTACATGATGTTGATACTGTCGTGTCCGTTGAAGTGTCCTCTATCTGTTAGCGTCATCGTTATTATTGCTCGCGGACGTATTTCTCAGCAATACGGCCAGCAATAGATTTGAAAGGGCGCGCGCACAACTTATTGCTAGTTTTACCCCCCTTATATTACTCCCCAGGTACATGATGTTGATACTGTCGTGTCCGTTGAAGTGTCCTCTATCTTTTGGCATCGTCGTTATTATTGCTCGCGGACGTATTTTTCCGCAATACGGCCGGGAATAGATTTTTTCGGGCGCGCCCACTACTTATTGCTGGTTTTACCCCCCCCCCCCCCTAAATTACTTCCCAGGTACATGATGTTGATACTGTCGTGTCCGTTGAAGTGTCCTCTATCTGTTGGCATCATTGTTAATATTGCTTGCGGACGTATTTTTCGGCAATACGGCCAGCAATAGATTTTATCGGGCGCGCGCAGTACTTATTGCTGGTTTTACCCCCCCCCCTAAATTACTCCCCAGGTACATGATGTTGATACTGTCGTGTCCGTTGAAGTGTCCTCTATCTGTTGGCGTCGTCGTTATTATTGCTCGCGGACGTATTTCTCCGCAATACGGCCAGCAATAGATTTGAAAGGGCGCGCGTACAACTTATTGCTGGTTTTACCCCCCTTATATTACTCCCCAGGTACATGATGTTGATACTGTCGTGTCCGTTGAAGTGTCCTCTATCTGTTGGCATCGTCGTTATTATTGCTCGCGGACGTATTTTTCCGCAATACGGCCAGGAATAGATTTTTTCGGGCGCGCCCACTACTTATTGCTGGTTTTACCCCCCTTATATTACTCCCCAGGTACATGATGTTGATACTGTCGTGTCCGTTGAAGTGTCCTCTATCTTTTGGCATCGTCGTTATTATTGCTCGCGGACGTATTTTTCTGCAATACGGCCGGGAATAGATTTTTTCGGGCGCGCCCACTACTTATTGCTGGTTTTACCCCCCTTATATTACTCCCCAGGTACATGATGTTGATACTGCCGTGTCCGTTGAAGTGTCCTCTATCTGTTGGCATCATTGTTAATATTGCTTGCGGACGTATTTTTCGGCAATACGGCCAGCAATAGATTTTATCGGGCGCGCGCACTACTTATTGCTGGTTTTACCCTCCCTAAATTACTCCCCAGGTACATGATGTTGATACTGTCGTGTCCGTTGAAGTGTCCTCTATCTGTTGGCGTCGTCGTTATTATTGCTCGCGGACGTATTTCTCCGCAATACGGCCAGCAATAGATTTGAAAGGGCGCGCGCACAACTTATTGCTGGTTTTACCCCCCTTATATTACTCCCCAGGTACATGATGTTGATACTGTCGTGTCCGTTGAAGTGTCCTCTATCTGTTGGCGTCATCATTATTATTGCTCGCGGACGTATTTCTCTGCAATACGGCCAGCAATAGATTTGAAAGGGCACGCGCACAACTTATTGCTGGTTTTACCCCCCTTATATTACTCCCCAGGTACATGATGTTGATACTGTCGTGTCCGTTGAAGTGTCCTCTATCTGTTGGCATCGTCGTTATTATTGCTCGCGGACGTATTTTTCCGCAATACGGCCGGGAATAGATTTTTTCGGGCGCGCCCACTACTTATTGCTGGTTTTACCCCCCTAAATTACTCCCCAGGTACATGATGTTGATACTGTCGTGTCCTTTGAAGTTTCCTCTATCTGTTGGCATCGTCGTTATTATTGCTCGCGGACGTATTTTTCCGCAATACGGCCGGGAATAGATTTTTTCAGGCGCGCCCACTACTTATTGCTGACTTTACCCCCCCTTTCTTATTCCCCAGGTACATGATATTGATACTGTTGTGTCCGTTAAACTGTCCTCTATCTGGTGACATCATCGGTTTCATGTTACGCGGTCGCATTTTGCCGCAAAGCGGCCAGCAATAGATTTTAGCGGGCGGGCGTACTACTTATTGCCAAGTTATTGCCAGGTTCACACAAGTCAATTTTGGTTAGCCTAAGTTAGGTTGTGACAGTAAGTTAAAACTGCCGGATACCTAATAGCCTACACACACTCGGTTACCCGATGCATATCCTCTACCAACTTAATATGTGTAAGCTATTAAATAAACTTCAGGTAGGCCTAGGCTTATGTTACTCCAAGTAAGGTCCGCCTAAAACAGGAAGGGTAGGTGGGGCAAAAATAAATTAACCTAGCCTAAATAATGAAATATTTTAAGTTAAGGCCTAATGAGACAAACTCTATTGATTTGCTATGGCCTAGCCTAAGTACTCCATGCAAGTGAGAGCTAGGAATTGGCATGACAAATTAATGCCAAACAAACCTGAGCGTTTAGTTGGGCTTTCTGCTTTTCAATCATCAAAAACTCTTGCAACTCCTTGTCTGATTTATCGGAGGACAATCCAGGCCCACCAGTGCGGTCAGAGTCTGAAAATCCGCTTAGACTAAAGGAATCTGACATTTTTGTTATAACAAGTTTAACGGAATTACTAAGACCAAAACTTAATAAGATAGAGATTAGAGACCGGTTAGGTTAGGTTACTAAGAGGGGTAGAGGAGGAGGCCTTGCCGTCAGACCGTCACCGCTCTTTTTTCGTCTGTCTAGAAACGGGACAGCGGAATTTGAAATCGGAACGACGCTTCCCCCACTACTGCGCTGTGCCGAACGCTTCCGAATCTTACCGAGCAGTGCCGAACTTAAACGTCAAATTCGATGCTGTCTGTCGCGTGGTCGCGTGGTGTCAACTGTCAACAATGAATGTGAACCAGTTTTGCGATAAGACTTTTGTGAATAGGTGGGTTTTGACTAGACACCTTCGTGAAGTTCACGAATTAATTGAGGAGGAGAAGGATATACCAAGAAATACCATTTGCAGCGTATGCAACAGCGCATTTAGTAGAGCGGAGATAGAGACACATTTTGCAGATCTGCACAAAATTCAACTTGTCAAGTCAGTTCTTAGTTTTTCTAGTGCGTCAGATTTCTACACTTGGAAAAGCAAGACGGAGGAAAAGGAAAATGTGTTGTTCACAAAACAAACAGGACAGAAGATTCTATCTGGTAAGAAGAGAATTTTTATGTTCATTTTGTTGTTACAGTTTCCAAGATGAAGAAAATGTTGTAAATAAATGTAAATATTATTTGTCTGTGTTAGTGTGTAATATAATATGTGTTAAATTGTCGCTTTAGAAGAAGAATTTATTTTGAAGACGAAGACCAGGAATTTTAACACGAGGTATGTTACTAGTTTTAAAATGTTCACAGCTGAAAATAGGCCTACCTGTAAGCTATAATTTAGAATGACATGGAATTAAACTTTTTCTTTCTATACTTTTGTTATTTAAACAGTGTAAACAACAAGTAATAATAGTTAGGATTTTTATGTAATTCATCTTTATTTGGACTTATATAGCTATTTGTAATTTTTAATAATTATTCTAGAAATAATTTTCAATTAACATATTTAGACTTATATTTAAACGGCTACTGTACTTTGTTCCCGCGTAATTTAAAACAAGCTCGGTGATGACTGAAGCAGAAACCCGCGGTCAGATGTTTAGTTCGGATTTCAATTCCGCTGTCCCGTTTCTAGACAGACGAAAAAAGGCGGTGACGGTCTGACGGCAAGGTCTCGTGTTAAGGTCGATTCACACACATCAGTTACGGAGCGTCACAGTCCAGTCACTTCAGGCACGTCACAGTTAACAAAAATATTCTTTAGTGGATTTTCTATAGCGTTATCTACACTCATTCGTTGCAGTTCCATCAGTCACTCTGCTGGCATCCGTCAGTCAATTTCAGATTTCTTTCCAACGATACTTTTTGATTGTTCGGACGCCTGACGGAACTGTTAGAGGTTAGAAAATAGTGTTATTGTTATTTAAATTGTTGTGTTTACATTTTGAATACTGTTTGTAACAATTAACAAGATGGACAATGATAATTTGATAGAAAATAGGTTTATAACTTTAACATTTTCATTGTAAATTACTGTAAATTTCAGAGACGGAAGACTGACTGAAACCAACAGACGGATAATTGACTGAGAAATTTCGGATGCAACTGAGACTGGACTGTAACTGTACTGTAACGGAACTGTGACTGAACTGATATGTGTGAATCGACCTTTAAGAGGTAAGACTCAGGAGGAGTGGAGTGGACTAGGAATTAGGAATTAGGAAATTGAAATTAGGAATTGATATTTCCCATTTCCCCTTTCTTATCAGCAGTGAAGCAGAAGAGCAGAAGAGCTCGGGAGCTCGCTATTGGAACGGAGCATGGGAATTGGAGGAGTCTTATTATTTTTTTATCCTATTTGCTCGAAAGCAGGCTTATATTATATGCAGCCTCATTGTGCACTAATTTATTTGACGATTCTGTGGTTTTTGTTAGTATTGACATGGAATTTTTGAGGACATTGTTTTCGTTTGGTGGCAAATTTCATTTTGGTTTTGGTTTTTTGTTGTGTCCAGTTAATAGATGGGATTTTGTAGGATTCTAAAGCCTTGATGGGATAGTTGGGAGAAGGGTTGGGTTTGAGTCTTCTCACTTGAGGGCTGTCAAGCATTTCTACCCCGAAAAGGAGGCCCATGGATGAAGACCCCAAGGATTGGAAGATTCAAAGATTCAAAGATTTATTTGCCGTTAAATATTTACAATAAATACAATAGGCTTCGTCATGCTTATAACTAGAACAATGCAAATTCACAATGCAAGTGCTTCACAAACTTACATAAGAATGGCGAAAAAGTATAAATATGAAAACCTGATGTCGTCAGGATGGAAGGTACAGCAGTTAGGGGTTTAATAGGGCAGAAAAGGTGTTGAGGTTGGTGTTGTTAAGTTTATTAGTGTGGTAAAAAGGATGCAGAATGAGCCAAGACTTCATAACCTGAGTGAATTTTGGAAGGGGAAGGTTTCTGACGGTGACAGGCAGCTTGTTATAAAAGCGTATACCTGAAACAGGAAAAGATTTCCAAGTTTTTCCAAGTCTAGTTCTGGGATAAAACAAATTTCTATTTGACCTTGTATTATGCTCATGAACTTCACCAACGGATGTAAATAAACCATTTCTTTCCTTTATAGCAACAACACAATGAAATATGTATAGACTATACAGTTAGGACCCCTTTCTCTATGAAAAGAGGCCTGCAATGATCAAGCCAACCAGCATTTGAAATGACTCTAATTGCCCTCTTCTGCAGTAATAAAATTTTACTAACACTTGGACAATGTCCCCATAGGATGATTCCGTAAGTGACATGACCTGTGAAACACTTTTGTACTGGCCTGTGATTTTTTTTTCTGCTTCTTCTGTATGTAAGATTATTATATTTTTTATGTAAAAATGGTGCAACCGTTTACAAATAAATAAATAAATGGCTTTGAACGAAGGCAAAGAAAGCATGTCGGGGACAGCTCACTTACTCTACAGATCATAGACTATACGAGCTTTTTAAATAATATTGAAGGTTCACTTGCACTACAGGCTCGTATACTATACGAGCCTATCGAAAATAAAAAATAAATGAAGAGGGTTCACTTACTCTACGAATCATTGTGCCTATGAGCCTCGTGTATTATATTTAAAAATACAGTAGGAAGGTTCGCTTACTCTACAGATCATAGTGACTATGAGCCAAGCTTACGAATTATTTGATAATTTAGGAATCGGCTCGTATAGTATACGAGCCAAAATAATGAATAATATAAATTATAGGAATAGGCTCGTATACTATACGAGCCTGCAGAAAAATATTAGATGGCTCACTTACTCTACAGTTCATTGGCACTATGATCCGTAGAGTAAGTGAACCCTCTTCAAAATATTAGATGGCTCACTTACTCTACGGCTCATTTAGCTACTCGTTGCGCGGTTTGCGTTCGTGAAACTTTAGGCGCTATGCCCGGATTCGACTGCTGCGACTGCCTACATAAGTGTATTGCATCACCTCAATTATTTTTTAAAACGAAATAAATATGTATGCACAAGTAAATTTATTACATTTTTGGACTGAATACTTTAAAAATGGAGGGAGCATGACTTTTATGTTTAATTAAATTAAACGTTATAGAATAAAACATATTTTGACTAATATCAGGTTATATAATACACACTTGTATGATCCAGATACAGAGCTACAGACAAAACCTGTGGTCCGATTTAGATTAAATTTCGTATCTGGATTTATCCACGAGTCACTAATTTTTTAAGCACGGGTTGAGAAATAATGGCAAAAATTTATAAAAACAGTTCACCAGTTTAGAATATTTCTCAGTTACTGTGAGTTGCAAAAACGTGTATACAGAAGCATTTGTGTACACAGAAAATATAGAGGACTATATGTATACAGAAGATATATTAAAATACAATACGCACACAACTATCAACGTTTACATATGTAAAATTAATGAATTTGTTGTATTGAGTATTTTTAACATTATGACGAAGCCTTAACAAAACATATTTTTTTTAAGGAGTTCTAGGGTGTTGAACTATATTGTATTTATCTTTTGTGGAAGATTCTGTCCACGATTTATGATTGCTAACAATTTAATACAAAGATTTAAGTCTCTGTACGTGAAGACTAAAAACACGAAACAAACTTTAAAGTGATAGAAAAGATTTGATCAGGATCTGGCGTTTGATACCTTTTGGGAATAAATATAGCCTCTACTTCAAAGGTATACATGGTGAGGTAGCCTCTGGAAGTCCATCTTCAGGTTAACAAAAACGTCAATAGGTCATCTAACCAATTTGGTTAGATGACCTATTGACGTTTTCTGAAGATGGACTTATTTTCAAGTCCGAAACTATAGTAGTGTGATACTGAAGAAGGATCACTTGACGAAGCCAGGTAACTTAAACCATTTAGCTTAAAGTTATACAAGTTGGTTTCACACCAACATTTCATGCACATATGAAATCTATATAATTAATACGCGAACACGAAGTTTGTCGGTTGAATCCTCCACCATTTCTTAACCGATTTTATCCACTGACGTCTCATTGGAAAGAGCGTGTTGCGTAGATTTGCAAACTGGCCTAAATTTTTTGAAAAAGTCCCTTGGCCTCTGCCACAGTGGCTTTTTAAGTTCCCATGTTATCCTTTCGAAGAACATAATATTGTTTACATCAGCTGTTTAATTTAATTGTGTTCTTTGTTTTTCAATTCAACGAAACGCATTGGTTACATTAACTGATTTTGTGGAAATTAAATATCTATCTATATATTAATTACGAAAGCCGATTCTTTGCGTCAAAATTGTGGGCGACTGGGTAGTCGTAGAACGACGGGAGAGGGTTCAAATTAAAGGTCTCGATCCCGGAAAAATAGTGAAATTCCCCAAATTTTAACACAAAATTAGATAAAACCTTTGACTTAGTCAATAATATAACGTAAAATGTTCTCCATAAGAATAGCATTAGAAGCCATTTGTCTGTTGATTTTTGTTTACCTCAATACAGCTGATCGTGATTCATCTAAGCCAGTAAGCAATATTACATTTGAATTTAACTCATTTGCCAGTAAATTCTGCAATGTACTGTATACTAT